GCTGTACGACCATAGTCCTTAGAGCACGTCGCAACTGCGGCAGAAAGAGTATATCACAAATGCATCATCCCACTCTGCAAGTGCACTCGCCCACACTCACGACATATGGCTACAGCTGCACAAGAGAAATGGTTCTCCTCTTAAATTGCAACTGCTGTCCATTTAGTTGCGACTTAAGAGCAAGGTCGAATGAGGTGAGAGCATACAAACATCCATATATTCCCTTAGTGGAGACCTCAACCATGAGCGATGGCATGGGTCTCGGACTGGACCTGTCTGGGCTCGGCCAGGAGCCCATGGCGCCCGCCGTGGACGTGACTCAGCTCACGGAAGCTATCCGCCACATCCTCAAGGACGCGGACCTGGAGCAACTTTCGCGTCGTATGATCCGCAAGCAGCTGGAGGCGCAGTTCCACACGGACCTTTCGAGCTACAAGGACGTGATTAACGCCACGATCCTGGAGGTCATCGAGCAGCAACAGGTTGACGAGGAAGAGGAAGAAGAGGAGCCTGAACCGAGCGAGGACGATGTTGACGCTGATGACGAGCTGGAGGAGCGCATACCCCGCAAAAAGACGGCTGTCAAGAAGAAGGCGACGCCTAAGAAACGCAAACGGAAGACAGAAGGAGAGGACGGCAAGAAAACTGGAGGGCGAGGTTTCAACGCGCAGCTGAGCTTGTCCCCGGAGCTCGCACAGGTTGTCGGAGCCGAGACAATGGCTCGGCCGCAAGTCGTCAAGGCGCTCTGGGCCTATATCCGCGAGCACGACTTGCAGGACCCGAACAACAAGAAAAATATTCTGTTGGACGACACACTGCGTGGTGTGTTTCAACGAGACTCGTTCACTATGTTCAGCATGAACAAGTTCGTCAAGCGTCATGTGCGCAAGCCTGACGACTTGCCGCCTGGAGGATGGAGTCAGATCCCTCGAGACGGCGTGTCAAGCGACGAGGACACAGAAGCGAAGGCTGCGAAGAAGAAACCGGCCAAGAAGAAGAAGAAAGCGGCCTCGACAGATGATGGAGACGATGACGGCAAGAAGAAGAAGACAGGATTCAATGTGGAGCTGTCGCTGTCGCCCGAGCTGGCCTCGCTCACGGGTAGCGACCGCATGGCACGGCCCCAGATCGTGAAAGCATTATGGGCGTACATCCATGAACATAATTTGCAGGATCCGGATGACAAGCGCTCGATTCTGCTGGACGATAGGATGAAGCAAGTATTTCAACGGGACTCGTTCACCATGTTCTCTATGAACAAGTTCATCAAGCGCCATGCACGTAAGGCTGAAGATTTACCGCCTGGTGGCTGGGCCGAAATACCGCGCAACGGATTATCGAGTGACGAGGACGAGGCCAAGACTAAGAAGAAGCCACGAAAAGCCAACTAAAGTGAAGGGCAGTGAGGGGCTAGGAAAGGTTCGAGCAGCTGCATCTGGCATATGGAAACGTGATTCTTTTGTATAAATGCATGGACTGGTGAGTGTTGCGCGCGTAGTAGTTCACTACCGGTTCAGTAAATTGTCCATCTTGACGTCCACCTCAGTTTTTTTAAATAATTGCTGCAATATTTGTTTTTGTCCTTTCACAATTATGTGATGTACACAAATCATCAGCTGGCGTACCATAGGACACCCCTATAATAGCCTCAGTTTTTGACTGGATCACGAAAGGGTAGCAACTCTATTGGACGTAGCAGACTGGAGAGACCGCCATGGACGCATCTGTGATTGCCAGCTTCCGCGAGAAGGTGGTGCAGAAGCCTGAGGTGGGTGTCCTTTTTGTTGTGCTGTTTGCTTGTATAGCGGTGCCTATGATGCTGAAAATATTGCGAATGGACCTGTGCAGGTGTTTTTCACACCGTCGGAAGAGGTTGCCAAAGAGATTAAGGCGTTTGCCAAGCATGCATACGACCGAACGTCGAAATACCAGAGCAAAAGCGGCGGTGCAGCTCCGCTGGAGGAGCTCTATGTGGACGGCTTTGACGCTGACCAAGTCTGGGAGCAGCTCCGTCTATTGAACGGCCCGTTGGTGACCGAGATGACGCAGCGCATTCGCACATTCGACAAGAACCCGGACAACATTCTGCTATTTCCATCGGAAAAGCAGGAAGAGAGTGAGGAAGAAGAAGAACAGGAAGAACTAGAGGAGGAGCGGGAGGGCAGTGACGCTGACGGCGACGAGAAAGACAGTGACGACGACGAGAACTCAGACGATGACACTGCCGACTCGGACGAGGAGGAGACGGCAGCTAAGAAGAGCAAAAAAAAGAAAGCTAAGAAAGCTCGCGATGTCGCGGAAGACGGTTTTTTCGACTGGGACGAGATGGACAAGGCGGCTGAAGAGGAAGAGGAGGACGATGATGAAGATATGGACGGTGACGAGGACGAAAATGATGAGAATGATGAAGAAGATGACGATGAATCGGAGATGGACGAGGATTCGGACGCTGAGACTGCAGAGGAGATGAAGTACGACGACTTTTTCGATGAGGAGGAAGAAGGCGGTGAAGAGGGCGACGAAGAGGAGGAAGAGCTCAACGACGTTGACATGCAGGAAGGCGACCACGACGAGGAGGAGTACCCTACTATCAACCGCTCGAAGCCTGACGAGGAAGAGAATGTCGACGATGAGGAGCTGGCTGAACGCGGCATCATGTCGTCGCACCAACGTCAGCGTCATCGTCTTCAGAAGGAGATTAAGGATCTGGAGCAGGAGGCTATCAGCGAGAAGCCGTGGCTTCTGAAGGGTGAGGTGCGCTCTGCTGCGCGTCCAGAGAATAGCTTGCTAGAAGCGGTGCTGGACTACGACAGACCAGTGAAGGCTGCCCCTGTGATCACGGAGGAGGTGTCCATCGCTCTTGAAGAGATGATTAAGAAGCGTATCTTGGAAGACGACTATGACGATGTGATCCGTAAGTTTGCTGGCAACGAAGAGGACAAGAAGAACAAGCTGGAAGAAGTGTCAATGGAGAAATCGAAGGAGGGACTGGGTGAGATTTACGAGAAGGAGTATATGAAGACAGCCATGGGCTTTGAGGCTGACGACGAGTCTAAACAGGACCAAGAAGAGATCGAAGTCATGTTCAAGAGCTTGTGCTGGAAGCTCGACGCGCTGTCCAACTACCACTTCACACCCAAGCCGGCCGTCAAGGAGCTGCACGTCAAGCCTGCTGTGCCTGCTATAGCAATGGAAGAGGTGGTGCCTATCAGTGTAAGCGACGCGAACTTGAAGGCACCCGAGGAAGTGTACGAGAAGAAGCGTAAGCGCGGCGAGGCCGTGTTGCAGTCCAAGGAGGAAATGACTCAGACGGAGCGCAAGGCGTTGCGCAACGCCAAGAAACACGCACGGAGGAAGGAGAACCGCCAGCGCGAGTTCGACGAGCGCCTGGTGGCCAAACTCAACCCCGGTCTGGGCAACAAGTACGAGAAAAAAAAGATGCTCGAGAGCATCGCCGGCGCCAAAAACATCACCACGGGCAAGCAGATCGAGGGCTCGTCCAAGCAGTTCTCCAACTCGAAGGAGTTCTTCACACGCTTGCAGGTATTATTACTTGATTGCGCCTCGAAGGCGTGTCTACTCGTAGCCAGCGTATGTGCTAACCCATGTTATGTGTGTGTGCTTTTCTTGTTGCAGGACGAGGTGCAGGAAAAAATCAGGAATGCAAGCAGCAAGTAGAGAGCCGACGCCTCATGTTAAGCGGCAGCTGGTTGCGCCTTGGAGCAATAGAATGGATTTTGTGCATTTTTGTACGTCGGTCTTGATCCTCGGTGCTCCTTTTAGCTTGTCACTCAGCTGACGCGTCATGATGACGCTCATTTTTCAGCTACGCCGCCGCCATCCGTCCTGTTATCCTTCAGTTTATTACTGCCAGTCTGTATTTTAGCACTAATTTGCATCATGATTTTAATGAACCTCGGTGATTTTGCCATCACATCACTTGAGAAATGTAAGCCTCTTGCTAAGTACGATACTGACGCAGTTGGTTGAAGGTGAAAAGATCGCACGCAGCCACCACCGTCTCACATTCGAATTCGCTGGATCCAGCCCAAGTCATCCTTTCCCCTTCACAATGCAAGTGAGCACGCGCAAATATTCCGGCGACGCCCGCGACTTGAAGCCCGACACGGAGGCAGTGTACGGCCACCCGCTCATGTGCGCCAGTCTGCCGGCGGACGTGTTCCCGAAGCATTCGGTGCCCGCACGCGTGGCGCACCAGCTCATCAAGGATGAATTGGCGCTCGACGGCAACCCCAAGATGAACCTCGCGTCCTTCGTGACCACGTACATGGAGCCTGAGGCCGAGGACCTCATGGTTGAGGGTCTGCGCAAGAACTACATCGATCTGGATCAGTATCCGCAGACGGCCGAGATCCACAACCGCTGCGTGACCATGTTGGCCAATCTATACCACGCGCCGCTGGAACCCGGCCAAAAGGCAACAGGCACGGGCTGCATCGGCTCCTCGGAGGCTATCATGCTGGCTGGTTTGGCCTTGAAGCGCAAGTGGAAGGACCGCCGTATCGCCGCTGGCTTGCCTTACGACAAGCCGAACATGGTCTTCGGCTCTAATGTGCAGGTGTGCTGGCACAAGATGTGCAAGTACTTCGAGATCGAGATCCGCGAGGCCGACGTGTCCCCGGACTGCCTTGTGCTTACAGCCGATCGCGCTAAAGCCTTGCTTGACGAGAACACCATCGGTGTTAGTGCCATTCTGGGCAGCACATTCAACGGCGAGTACGAAGACGTTAAGGCCATCCACGACATGCTGGTAGAAGAGAACGAGCGCAACGGATGGAACATCCCACTGCACGTGGACGCGGCCAGCGGCGGCTTTATCGCCCCGTTCCTCTGCCCCGAGCTCAAGGGGGATTTCCGTCTGCCCAACGTCAAGAGTATCAACTTAAGGGCCACAAGTTCGGCCTTGTGTACGCCGGCATGGGTTGGGC